ACATCACGCATCCCATTCTCCGGTATGAAATTGCGCGCCGCCACCGACGCCGACGTCCCCGCCATTGCCGCCCTCGTGCTCGCCGTCGCCTCCGTCCAGGCGCCCTGGGCGAGCTACCTGCCGGCGCGTCAGCGCCGCGATCCGGTCCTCGTGCGGCACGCCGAGGCCGTGGTGCGCGGGCACGTCGCGGCCGGCGAGCAGACGTCGGTGGTCATGGTCGCCGAGCAGCGTTGTGCTAGCGGTGAGTTGGGCCGCGCCGAGATTGTGTCCGTCGCGGTCTGGGACACGACCCAGACCGTCTGCGGCAGGACTGGTAAGACAGAAGAAGACATGGACCTTTTGTTTTTCCAAGCGAAAAAAAAAATGCTGACCACAACGACAAGACCCGACAAGCTGCGTCAGGGAGGACGAATGGGCGCCCCGGGGTGCCGAGGATTACGCCCGGCTCGTCGCGCTCAACGAGGCCATGAACAAAGGCCGCCGACGCTACTTTGCCGCCGAGGGGCAGCCGCACGTCTACCTGCGCGTGCTCGCCACGCACCCGGACCATCAGGGCCGGGGCCACGCCAAGGCCCTCTGCCGATGGGGGATCGCGCTCGCCCGCCGCGCGCGCGTCGGTGTCTGCCTCGAAACGGGCTCCCGAGGCTACATCATGCTCTCCGGCATGGGGTTCGAGGATCTGGGCGCCGTCGTCGTCCCGGCAGGCAAGGGCCACGATGAGCAGGTCCTCAAGGTGCTCGGCATGGATGCGGCCGCAGTGCAGGCTGCGAATCCGGGGGTCTGGAACTCGCTGTGGAAGTACCTTTCAACATGACTGTAGTCCGAGAGCTGCTTGTTGACGGGACCCGAGCCGTGCAACTTTTCCCTTCTTTGGCGTTTATGGAAGTATCAGTGCAATCCAGTAACCTTGTTCCATGACACATCGATTGTTTTGCCAAGTTCTAGATGCCTCTATTCATAAATATTCCAGAGCAATCATTACCGTCTAATCTATTCCGAGTTCAGTCTATCCCGTCCAGTCTATTCCAGTCCAGCCATGTACTTGTCCATAATGTCATACGACATATTGCTGCCGCCGCACACCACAATCACCACGGTCGAGTTCTCGTTGAACCCGGGAATGTGTTCCTTGATCTGGCCATTGTAGATCAGGGCCGAGCACACCCCGCACGCCAGCTCGACCACAAAGTGCTCCTCGTCGGCGAACCGGCGGCACGCGCGGATGGCGTCGGCGTCGGTCAGCACCGCGGTCGACACGTTGTCGCGGAGGCCGTACTCGAACGCCTGCCTGCACACGCGACGGGCGCCGAGACTGGTGGCGAGGCTCGTAATGGCCGGCAGGGTGACGGGCTCCATCTTCTGGACGGCCTGGTGCAGCGAGTCGGCGCCGTGGGTCTCGACGGCGACGACGCGGGTGCGGTGCTGCAGGCCAAACTCCTCGACGCCCTGCATGATGCCAGAAAAGAGCCCGCCGCCGCCGACGCTGCATACAATAGCGTCAACGTTGGGCGTCGTGTCGACGGCGGGCAGCCCGTCGGCGGCGGCCGCCGTGACCGGGTAGTGGCGCACCGTCGCGGCGACCTGCCGCAGCACCTCGCGCGTGATGCCCGCGTTGCCGTCCCAGATGGCCTGCGCGTCAAACGGCGGCACGTACACGGGCGCCTCGCCGCCGGCGCGCGCCGCCGGCACCAGCGTCCCCGTCAGGTGGTCGTCGGCCTCTTGCCAGGACGCGCCGACCTGCACCACGTCGGTGGCGCCGGCCGCCCGCAGCTTGTCAATCATAAACGCCGTCGTCGAGAGCGGCACCACGACCGTCGCCGCGCAGCCGAGCGTGAGGGCGGCGTGCACGCACGCCAGCCCCGCGTTGCCGCCCGACGACGAGTAAAAGTGCGCCGTGGCCGCGGACGACGCGCCGGGGGCCGCGCGGAGGGCCTTGAGCTGCTCGACCATGAAGTGCCCGATGCCGCGCGACTTGAACGAGCCGGAAGGCTGCAGGTTTTCTAGCTTCAGGTAGACATTGCTAGTTCAAGGGTCAGTTATTGGTGCATGTGACGCATCAGGTTCGGCGCTGTTTGCGTGACGTACCAACCGGCGGCGCGGGACAAGTTGGCCGACTTGACCAGCGGCGTCTCGATGTAGGGAATTTTGATTTCACTTCCCATCGTGCCGGATGAGTGTTTTGTGCCCTTTGAAACGAGTGACGGCGGTTTGGCGAGAGCAGGAGGCTTGATACCTGCTGAGTTGAAGCCCAGTGAATGGACGATGACTACCCAACTACTCGGTATTTAACTTGCCCGCCGCGTGGCTCCATGGCCCCACCAAGGAAAGAGAGCGATAATATGGTCTTCGAACTACGCTTGGACCGCAAAGGCGCAGATGACTTGAAAGGTCGGTTCATCTCTAGTTAGTTACCTTCAGGCAGGTATGCCATTGTTCTACTGCACTTTGACCCGGATATCGATTGTGGCGCGATGCAAGATTGTGCGACATCCAGGTACCACAGTCGTCTCTTACTATTATTACATGCAGTCTCGACAGGATTGTAAATCTGCTGCATTATAATCAAGTAACTATTTAGACTTATTATATCAAAGGTCCAGGTGGCCGTAGGTAATCCCAAATTTGTGCCTATCGACACATGCACGACCCAATTCATACTTACCAAAGAACTTAAGCATGCACTTTTATTTCTATGTACATTCTATGCGAATTATACCATCTACGCTTAGATGCCCGGGCAGTTCTCCGTCTGGACGCTGTTGATCTCGCTGTAGGGGGGTTGGTCGACCCAAATAAGGTCGTAGTGGTCGCTCGGGTAGTCGCTGACGTTGTCGGCGCCGAGCTCCTCGGCGAGGTCAGTGAGGGCCTTGTGCTCCCAGCTGGAAGAGTATCAGCAATTGATTTCTCAAAGTACATTTGCCAGTTCCTGTGAATTGTCGCCACCTACCAGATGAGAATGTTGCCGCTACCCGTGTAGTTCTTGACAACCTTCTTGACGCACTTGGGGTCGTCGCGGTCGCAAGAGATGTCGACGCTCAGGCCGAGGTCCGCAGCGAGAGGCTTGACCGTGTCCAGGGGACGCTGGCGCTTGCCGCCTGAGTGAGCGCAGTGTTAGCCTCATAAACAGCCAAATATGTCATGGCAAGTCTCCAATCTACAGGTACGTACTGGACTTGGGGGTCTGGGCCATGATGTGGCCAATGTGGTAGTCGGAGCTGGCGCCAAAAACGCCACGCAGGCACTGGGCGCGCTGCACGCCCTGGGCGCTCAAACCATTACTGTCATCGGCAGGCTTCTCGCCGTGGCGGATGAAGTAGACGGTGGGCTCGGCGACGGCCACAGCCGCGGCGAGTCCGAGAAAGGTAATCAGCTGCATGGTGAATCGGTATAAGAGTGTAGTGGCAAGAGGAATGATAAATGGCAGGACATCATTTTGTCTTATATACAAGGCCATTGCTTACGCGCTCTCCACTCTTCATCGTCACCGGCCGTGAGACGGCGCTCGCCGGGAGCGGCACCTGGCCAGCCCGCTAACCATCTGACTAGGCCACACGTGGGACCATTGTCAGGTTGTCAGTGTCTTCTGAGGTTGTATTTGGTCTTTCAGCTCAAACTTAAAGCTTTCCACTTTATGTAGATTTTATACCACAACTTACCGATTCGTTGTGGCGTCGCCCCGGATCTGCGTGCTCAGCAGTTGCTATTGTCGCATCTGGATACCGATATTCCGGGATCCCCCAATTCTTCGGTGACGCAAGGAGTACTGGCACGGAGGCTACCAATGTCGGCGGAGCGCTATTTCGCTGTGCTTATGGGTGTATTATTAGACTATTCTTTTCCAGGTAAGCAGGGTTGAATGCCCATCTCTGGTAGCCATGGCTCGCGGATCGACGTCACCAACTCCTACAACGTTCATTGGAGAGTCGAGAGAAAGCCCGTCAGCCACCGGGAACAAGGGCCGCACACGATCTACCCTGCATGTCAGCACGAGGTACCGTGGCCCTGCCAACGCTCTTGTATTAATACATTACGTGGTGTGCATCTGGCATTCTACGATGCAGTGGCAAAATCTCGCAATGATGACGGTGATATATAAAAGGGCCCCAGGTATGTGCCGTGGCTATTTATACGCCGTGGCTATTCCCACCGTATCCGGGCATATCTAGTATCACACCTTACGAGTATGACACAACTCAAAGCCATATTGGAAGGGGACAGGCTGACCCTCACACGAGTTCCTTGTCCATTCAAACGGGGGGGCGGGCTGCAGCACAAAATAAATAAAAAAGGCCGACGATGGCCTATGGGTATTTGGTATTATATTTCTTTGGGGAAAATTGGAAAATGTGGACGCCGGTACCAAAACGATGAGAAACAAATGTGAACAGCCTTTTCGCTGCACCTATAACTAGGCCCCTACCAAGGTACTAACCTTCTGGCTAAAGCAGTCCTCCTGGCCACCCTGACATGCGTCCCGAATTGCAGCAAATTGTCGCAGTAATTGATATCCTTATCAAGACAAGCCGGTCCAAGTTCAATAATTAAATTCCCCAGTGAATAATCATCTGTAACTCGTAGGAGTGTGTGCTGCGATTTCGGTATCGGTCACATGATCGCATTGCACGGCGCCTCCATCCTCCATCACGATAAAATAGTCATTTATCCACTTGTTGAGTCACTTTGCATACATATATCCGATAACCATTGTCGGGCATTATACTGCGCACCTCACCACATCTGCTTGCCAGCCATGGTGCACCTCGTGCGAGTCGCGACTTGTGCGCTCAACCAATGGTCCTTGGATTTTGAAAACAACCTGCGCCGCATCAAACAGAGCATCCACGAGGCCAAGCAAGCCGGCGCCACCCTCCGCGTCGGCCCCGAGCTCGAGATCACCGGCTATGGCTGCCTGGACCATTTTCTCGAGAATGAAGTCTACGAAAACTCGTGGGACTCGCTCGAGGCCATCCTGACCGACGAGTCCCTGCACGGCATCGTCATTGACGTCGGCCTGCCCCTCCTCCACCGCAACTGCCGGTACAATGCCCGCGCCATTGTCCTCGACGGCAAGATTCTCTGCTTCCGTCCGAAGCTGTTCTTGGCCAACGACGGCAATTTCCGCGAGATGCGCTTCTTCACGCCCTGGAAGGCCCCGCGCCACGTGGAGCAGTACTATCTCCCGCCCCGGATTCAAAAGCTTCAGGGTAGCCGCCAGGTCCCCATTGGCGATGTTGTTCTCTCGACCATCGATACCTGTCTGGCTGCCGAGACTTGTGAAGAGCTCTTTACGCCCAACAGTCCACATATTGAAATGTATGCATAGTCGAAGGGTGCCTACCACAAGTCCTTTGCTAATGGGCGGTTAGGGGACTCAATGGCGTCGAGATTTTCACAAACAGCAGCGGAAGCCATCATTCCCTTCGCAAACTGGATGAGCGGATTGCACTCATTTCCGAAGCCACCCGCAAGAATGGAGGTGTCTATCTTTACTCGAACCAACTGGGCGTAAGATTCTCATGCCAGGATGCGGTACCGAGTTGCGAGCTAACAACCCATTACAGTGTGACGGGGACAGATTGTACTACGATGGCTGCGCCATGATCTTTGTCAATGGAAAACTTGTTGGCCAGTCCTCTCAATTTTCGTAAGCTTCACGCCGATAAGGAGTGAATTTGGATGCTCGATAAAGCAGCACTAACCCATCGCAGCTTAAACGAAGTCGAAGTCATTGTTGCTACCGTAGACCTCGAGGAAGTCCGAGCTGCGCGCTTTGCCCCGTCACGAGGCCAGCAAGCTGTGCAATCCCACGAATATCAACGCATCGAAGTCGACTTCTCATTGACAAATGACTCTTATCTTCTAGACAGCCCCACGCCCGCCCGCCCGCCACGCTATCATCTCCCCGAGGAAGAAATTGCCCTCGGCCCTGCCTGCTGGCTATGGGACTATCTGCGCAGATCTGGTGCGTCAGGCTTCCAGGTTGCACTGAGCGGCGGCATCGACAGCTGTGCCACAGCCACAATTGTCTACTCCCTGTGCCGACTAGCCGTCGCAGCTGCGAAGCAAGGCAACGCCGAAGTCATCGCCGACATGACGCGACTCGCAAAGTACACAAAGAAACTTCCGGATACACCCGAGGCACTCTGCAACCAACTCCTCCATACCGTGTATCTCGGGATGGAGGCACAGAGCTCCAAGGAGACGCGGCAACGAGCCAAGGACCTGGCTGCGCGCATCGGAGCATATCACCAGGATGTGAACATTGATGCCATGTTTCATTCCGCCAAAGACATTTTCAGTCAAGCCACTGGATTGACTCCCAAGTTCAAGGGTTAGTTAATTTTCCATACCATGCCCCCCGAGGACTTGTCTGCTAACTTGTCATGCCAAGTTCATGGAGGGTCGCACATTCAAAACTTGGCTCTGCAAAATATCCAAGCTAGATCTCGAATGGTACGTCCAATTTGCACCGGCCTGCCATGCAGTGCCCATTCTGATGATTTACTTACCCAAGATAGGTCCTCACCTACCTTTTTGCTCAACAAAACTGCGAGGTTCGAGAGCGGCCGGGCGGCGGTGGACTATTGGTCCTCGGCAGCGCCAACGTTGACGAATGTCTCCGTGGATGTAAGTAACAAACAACCTTGTCCTTGCAACTCCTTACTAATTTGCTCTCAGACTTGACGAAATACGACTGTATGCGCATCATCCTATCTTCCTCGTAGTGACTGCAATGCTAACCAGGCTTAGGCTCTTCCGCCGATGTGAACCCCATCGGCTCCATCAGTAAAGTCGATCTCGTTAGCTTCATTACTTGGGCTGGGAAGAACTTTGACATGCCCGTGCTAGACGAATTTGTCACGGCCGTCCCGACCGCGGAGCTCGAGCCCATCACTGCCGACTACGTAAGTGCTTTTAGAGACTGGAGTTGACAAAGACTGACAGAAATGTAGGTTCAATCCGACGAAGCAGATATGGGATTCACATACAAGGAGCTGTCCAAGTTTGGTGTCTTGCGCAAGGTCCACAAGCTCGGCCCGTATGGCTGCTTCCTTCGCCTGTTGAGCGAATGGAAGGATGAAAAGACGCCCCGCGAGATTGCCGAAAAGGTGAGCCATGGAACTTTGTAGGGGCTGATGCGCTGCTAACCGCATAGACTGTCAACTTTTACAAATTTTTCCAACAAAACAGGCACAAGCAGACTGTTGCAACCCCCGCCCCTCACGGTATGCTTCCAAGGCAGCTTTTTACTCACGTTGGCTAACAGGGTTGCAGCCGAATCTTACAGTCCGGACGACCATCGGTTCGACCTGCGTCCTATTGTGTACCCTCCTATAACGCAGAGCTGGTCATTCGACAAGATCTACGCCAGAGTTGAAAAGCTGGAGAGCAAGGCGAAGCAAACATAGATAGAAAAACCGATATAAACAAGAGCTGCCTTTTGTAACGAAAGGGTGCCACCTAGAGGCAACCCACAGCAAAGTGCAATGCGCTCCATTCAGACCCATCTCTGGCAGGTATTATACAATTGAACGGTACCTGAGCCGAGCGGCCCATGTCCCAAGTCGCTTAAATACGCTTCGGATTCACGTGCACCATGACCTCATCAAACGTATTCGCGACCGAGCGGCCCATGGCCGCCGCAATCTCCCACAGCCGCTTCGGCACGTACACAAGCACCCACCCAAGACCAACGACGCCATAGTAAACGCACTTGCCGAGCGTGCCGAGCAGAATCACGAGGCTCTCGTACGCGACCCGGCCCGCGTCCGCCGCCCACCGCGCCGCCGCCCTCGGCACGTCCACCAAGAGCGCGCGCGCCGCGACCACCACCCCGCGCCAGACGTCGCCCAGCGTGATGCGCCTGCACAGCGACACCGCGGCGC